TGTTTTTGGTTGGCTTTCACAACTAAATGTTGATACACTATTTTGGACAGCACCATTCACTATGTTTGAAAGGAATGGAGTGATCAAATTTGAACTGACCAGGAGAAACTCTCCTGGTTTTTTCATAACACTAGAAACAATATATGTGTTTTTAGAGGAGAAAAGATATCCAGTGCAGGATGCTGAATAGAACAGTACTGACCAATCAGGCATGATATGCTCACTGGTACAAAAGTGACAAGACTGTGGGATGAACCATCTGTTCCTTTGATGGGATTTTAAGACTTCTCCAAAGGGGACAATTCATACCTGATGTTATAAATATGGTTGAAACTTATTGCTAGGAAAAACATAGATCCTAAAGGAGCAACTATTGGTGAGTTTCAAAATAAATATTATACTGGATAATTTAGTGGAGAAGGTGAAGGGGCTAGTCTTGCAGATCCAAGCTTCAGGATATCTATAACACAGGGCAACAAGAAACTATCCAAGAGGAGTCCTAGTGAGGGACAAGTTTCAGTGATGTAGCAAAAACCAGAGGCTTCAATCCAGACAATAAAAATAGTAAAGATATATGGGCTAAAGGGTAAATTGCATGACTCTTTGTGTCATACGTCAGCTTCCACAATGAGATTTTTCTTTTTTTATTTGTTCTTCATTTCTCTTAAGTTTCTTTAATTTTGGGGGGGGGATGGTGTTGTTGCAAGGGCAGATGGTAGATACTAAAGGATAGGCAGATGCACGGTATTGAGATGCATAATGTGAAACCCACAAAGAATAACTAAATAAAAAGATTTAAAAAGGAAAAAATAAAATTTGTCCATATGAACAGGCTGTAGGCCAGACTGTAGGACAGTTTCTTAATGAGTGATTTATAAGGGAAGACCCAGCCCATTGTGGGTGGTACCATCCATGAGCTGTTGGTCCTTGGTTCCATAGGAAATCAAGTTTAAAAATCCAGGTTGATTAAGCAAGTAAACCATATTCCTCCAAGACATTTGTATCAGCACCTACGTCCAGGCTCCTTTACTATTTGGATTTCTGCCCTGAATTTCTCCCTGAAAGTGCAAGCTAAAATAAATCCTTACTCTCCAACTTGCTTTGGTCATGGTATTTCATCACAGCAATAATAGCATTAACATTGAAGTGTTGTCAAACTGCTTTATAATATTTGTGTTCATATCCATTGATTAGTGCTGCTTCCAGTCTTAATCACAGAAACTTCCTGTTATTGTATATAAATGCTAGTACAGAGAATCATAAATGGACAAAGTGCTAAGAATAAGTTATAGTGAGTGCTCAGTAGGAAATGGATCAAGAAGAATCAAGGGATGCAATGAAAGTTTACAAGGAATATAAGACCCTGAGGATGAAGAGTAGTGATGTGACATAACATGTCATATCACACTGAGTTAATGAATGTATGAATCCAAATTAGATATGGTTACTTTTTCACAATGTGCACAAGATTAAAACAGTGGAAAAAATCTGACAGGGATTTATGAGTGGCATATTGTGAGGATTCCTCCATCTACATTGAATGTCCACTAGTGTTGTTGCATAGGGCTTGTTTAGGTGTTCACATGGTTAATGTTTCATGAATGCAGTGCTTTGTCTTCAATAAAATATACTATCTTAAAGCAGGAATTATGCTTCTTTGTTTCTTACATCTTTTTTCAATATAGCCCTTGGAATCTTAGTAAGAGAAGCAATTTAAAAGGATGAATTAAAGGAATACAAATAGGAAAAGAAGCAGAATTTCTTTTTTGCAGATAATATAGATTGTATAGATGAGACACTGAAGACTCTTCCCGAAAATTCTAAGATATGGTAAAAACTTTCAGCCAAAGAGCAGATATAAAGTCAAATTTCTACCCCTAGCTGAAGAGTCATTGGTTGGTGGTTGCTTCTGGTGGGGAGAAAGAGTCTCTTTAATTTATGATTGTGCTCACTGAAAGACAGTCCATACTCCAGTGAATGTCCTCACATCAGGCACTAATAGGAGTTTGTAGGTTAAAAAAAGGATTATTAAGGAAAGCCATGAAGCAGGAAGAGAGATGTTATCATGGGATTGGAGGAGGGATTGTGATAGTTATAATAAGGACCCATTGTAGAGATGTATGAAATTTTCAAAGAATAAATTAAGTTTAATAAACATGAATCTCAAGTCTCTATCCTTGGTGCTTAAATTTAGTGTGGCATAACAAGTTACAAAAAGACTAGGAAGAAACCCTCATATGGACAAGGCAGCCTAGTAGGAAAAAAAGGAAAATGAGCCAGCGGTATCCCCCTACACACACACACACACACACACACACACACACACACACACACACACACACACACACACACATTGTTACTGTTAGGAGTTCCACAAGAACACCTGGCTACACAGTCATAATATATATACAGAGGGCCTAACTTAGAGCAATACAGGACAGGGTCTGTGATTGTTGCTTCAGCCTTTCAGATCCCTTTTGAGCCCTGCTTAGCTGATTCTGTGGGCTGTGTTCAGCCCTCTGGCTAATACAATCCTCCTTCCTTTTCAGTTGATATCCCTGGGAGACCTGCTCTGAGTTTTGAAGAGCAATGGAGGAAGAGTGAATTTGGGGAAGAAAGGAGATGAAAGAAGTCTGAGAAGGATGGGAGGAGGGGACATTAGGAGTGGATGTAATGTATGAGATAAGAATTTGTAAAGAAAGAATTAGTGTGGCTCTTCGTTTGTATTTCTGGCAATATTCCACTTACTGTGAATTTTGACTCCCTTCTTGTTTGGTCTCTTCCAGCTTCTATCACTTTCTTTTCTAGATCATGTTCATTTCTTTGTTTGGGAGTAGTTAGAATTCTGCAAATAACCTCAGTGTCTTTGATGTACTAAATGCATTACCCATGTGTATTATACACTTTTGGTATTGTATAGATTTGAGAGCATATTTAGACAGATTTAGATTTGCAGAACCTCCATGTAATTAAAAACACACAAACTAAGGCTCAAATATTTCTTAACATATTTTATTGTATATTTTTCAAATAAAGTTGAATTTGACATATGGCATCATCTCATTCAATTGTATCAAAATGTTTAATAAGTTTATAAGCAATAAATTGTGATATATTCTTTTAAAGTAATTCCACGTTTTATAGGAAAACTTGAGGTTTTTCTTCTTTTTTCTGTAACTGCCTTCTGAATGCGAATTTTCAAATCTAAGTTGATTGAGAAATTGACTCTTATTCATAGCTACCTAATATTTTTGCTTTGATAACTAATTTGTTACTTCATATTAAGTTTCTGTTTTCTTCTACTGAATTATCCTGATGTAACTGTCCAGATATGTCTCTGAACATACAAACTCCATTGGAAGAAGTATGTAGAAGACAAAAGTTCTCGTGGGCATGAAAGGACTGAATCCTTGGATAATTTAATTTAGAGCAAGAGCTTTGGGGAAAGTTTGAACAATTCAGTGATGTATTTTAAGGTTCATCATTAAGTACCTTTTCCTTATAGAATCATTCCTTTGGGAATTGATGTTGCCTCAGAATATAAAATAAAAGCCAGTACCTTCTAATATGAACCACATTGATACAGATATGTAAATGCCACAGTAATGCAAAACAAAGTCTAGTTTAAGATTAACCAGTAGTATGCACACTAGACTAGGTGTATTACAAAATCTAATTTTCAAGTAAAAATTGAAGCTTTAAACTTGCTTGATATATTCTAACAACAGTGCTCATATGAGATGACACAGGTAGTCCTTCTACTGTTCGTTTTTGAAGTCAAATGTAGGTAATCCATTAATTTAAATTAAAAGTCTTCTAAAATGGAAATAATAGTAGTTTTTGCTATAAGCTACAGGAACCATATATCTGTGTAAGATTTAAAGTCCCAATGACTGTGTATGTTATTATTCTGTCTTTGTCATCATATCTTGATTGATATGTTTGCAATATCATCTTATCTTCATCAAACTAAGTTATTTTCTAGAATCAAAGACAAAACATTAGACATCTGGATTTGAAGCAATTGGCCAAAAATAAAATAGAAAATCCAGGTAATATATTTATGGGAAACCTCCACTTACTCTGAATGAGTTCTGTACCATCCTTAAATATGTCTTTAAATTATATCAAAACAACTTCATTCCAGGGCCAAGAATCAGTTACAATATACATGATGTTTTCATTTTATAGAGTAGTGCTAGAAAAAAATGCAAGTAAAATAATATCTCCTAATGTATTATATTTAGCAATGTGTTCTAAGATGGAGAAAGCCATGGTAAAACATAACAAATCCATGATACATATTTTCAGTAATATTTTATAATATAAAACATATATTTTATTTCATTTGGAGAATATAACACTTTTCATTAATCTGTCACTGTACAAATAGTATTTTTAAATGTTCAGGCGCTTGGTAGATGTTTTGTTATTTTTGTTTTGGTAAAATATACAATACACTGTCAGGCAATCATCACTGTTACTCTTTATGAGTATGTGTATATTTTCAAAATTATTGCTTTTATGAATTTTCATTGATAGAGTAAATTTAACATTTATTTTTCACTCACATTTCTAAGGAAGTTTGAGATTTGATTACATTGAATTGAGCGTATAAAGAGCAATCAAACTAATACAATTGCTGTGATTTATGGGGTTAGAATCTCATGTTATATAATCAGAAAGCCTGTATCTAAACATGAGCACAAACTTTGTGAATTGCATTATATATATTATGTTACATGAATATCAGAATACAGTATGAAACTATGATTATGTTTTTACTGGAACATTTCTGAGATAAATCACCCAAGTATATGCCAGACAGAACCCTGAAGATTCACTATTATGGTGACAGAAAGAGTCCAGTTACCTGTGTAACCAAACCTGGGAAAACCGTTGAGAAAATTGTTGTAACATGGAGTTAAAATAATTTCAAATTAATTAAATGCTCTTGTTTGCAGGTTCTCTATGTGAATTCAAAACCCTCAGAAGAACTTATGGAAAAGAGGAACAATGTAACCGAATTCATCCTCCTGGGCCTTACCCAGAACCCTGAGGGGCAAAAGGTTCTGTTTGTCACATTCTTGCTCATCTACATTGTGACAGTAATGGGCAATCTGCTCATCATGGTGACCATCATGGCCAGCCAGTCCCTGGGCTCTCCTATGTACTTTTTTCTGGCTTATTTGTCATTTATAGATACTGTCTATTCTACTACCATTGCTCCCAAAATGATCATTGACTTGCTCTATGCAACAAAGACCATTTCCTTCCAGGCTTGTATGACTCAAGTTTTCATAGACCATTTATTTGCTGGAGCTGAGGTCATTCTTCTGGTGGTGATGGCCTATGACCGCTATGTGGCCATCTGTAAACCTCTTCACTATTTGACCATTATGAACAGGCGGGCGTGTGTCCTTATGCTGTTGGGGGCCTGGATTGGGGGCTTTATTCACTCATTAATTCAGTTCATCTTCATTTATCAGCTCCCTTTCTGTGGTCCAAACATCATTGACAGCTTTGTTTGTGATATGTATCCCTTGCTAAAACTAGCTTGTACCAATACTTACCTCATTGGACTCTGTATGATTGCTAATGGAGGGGCAATTTGCACTGTCACTTTCTTAATTCTTCTAGTTTCCTATGGGGTCATTTTACATTCCCTGAAGGCACACAGTCTGGAAGGGAAGCGCAAAGCTTTGTACACATGTGCATCCCACATTACTGTGGTTGTTTTATTCTTTGTTCCTTGCATCTTCCTGTATGCCAGGCCTACTTCCACATTCCCCATAGATAAGTCTGTGACTGTGGTTTTAACTTTCATAACTCCAATGTTGAATCCCTTAATCTATACCCTGAGAAATTCAGAAATGAAAAATGCCATGAGGAAAGTTTGGAGCCAAAAATACAGTTCAGTTGTGAGTAGGCTATTTCATTCTTGAAAAATGAAATCTATAATATATATACATATATATATATATATATGCAAAGGTCACAGTTTTATTGCAAGCATGTACCATTTTTACTATTGTTCTCTCTTGGTAACTTAGTGTCTTAATAAAAAGTAGCCATTGACATTAATATATAAGTAAATTACCTTCACTCTTTAGAGACTATCTTTGTATAAGCTTAATACGTTAAATGTGTCATCCAACCTTAAGATTCATTTCAATCCCACTTCAATTTTATTTTCTGTATTTTGAGTTTCAAATTTATTTTAATAACACAAAAATACGTATTATTTCTTCACTCTCCCTTCTTTGAATTTATAAATGATTTAGTCAGTATAGTTAGCAATGCTAACACTTCCAGTTGTGTCAGTTCAGTCATGATCAGCCTGGTCAGAAATTCAACTTATATTGACTAAAAGAATGTGTAACATGTTGCTTATTCAATGGTGGAGAAAATAAAAGTAGTATAGCTATTGATTCATGAGACAGGGGCCCAACATGGAGTGTTAGGAACTTCATAATTATTATAATTAGAGTCTGGCATCAGGATAATACTGTGAAAATGGCAGATCAGGGTTTTCCATTTAAGCCATCACAGAGATGTGGAAGCTGAATTGCTGAAGAGAATCCCCTACTTATATTTGTCAGAGTCATACCCTGACACCAGTTGTATATAGAAACAATATAAATCTTTTAAAAATTGCTTTCTAGATGAATTTATTTAATCTCCACACCAATTGTTACCTTTTAGTTCTCATATGAGATGAAAGTTTACCTTATTTCTTGCCATAATAGTTGGTTTCTAAATTCCATCTATTGAAACCTACTGAGCAACACTATCCTTTCATGACAGTTTCTTAACTTCCATTCTATTCAGAACCTGAATTACTGCAGAGGGTCAGATACTACCGGAGTGTGCTAAATGGGCACAGCATTTAGGATCTAATGTACCAAATCTACTTCCTTACTTTTACCAGATCCTTTATGTAGGTTAGACATTTGTGAGCAACTCAACTGGGCACTTACATCAAAGGTATCATCTCATAATGGGAGTCATTAATTAACTGACTTTAAGATCATCTATAAGATTGTTCACTAGAACATTGGAGCTTCTTTTCCTTGGACAACAGCTCCCCACATTTTTATTTGGTCTTTCCAAATATTCTATCAACCGTACTAGCTTCAGAATAATTGACATTGCATATGGTGTCACAGAGCTCAAAAAGACTCATAGAAGATAACTCACCACTTTACAAACAACTTTAGATGTGAGATAGAATCACTTCGGCCATATCTGATTAGATAGGACAGTCCTGAATTTCATTTGATGTTCAAGTAGATAGAGTCTGTATTTTGATAAGGGAATGGTAATTTCAACAATATTATTTCCATAAGAAAGTACTTCAAAGCTCTCTCTCTATACTCTGGTTTGAACATTCTTCTTCTCCCTTCACCACTGTGTATACCTGGACTGGAAGAAGGCTTATATGGATGATTATCTGTTGTTGAGTATTCACAGTCACTTACTCTTATCAATATTTTTATTAGTTAGGATTCTTTTTTATCATTTTTTATTTTAATTTTAAATAGCTTGTTTTACATGTCAATCCCAGTTCCCTCTCCCTCCCCTCCTCCCGCACTCCTCTTCCCCCCCCCTCCCTCCCACCCTATTGCCAAATCCTTCCCCATAGGGGATATCTAGAGTCTGTCATTTTACTCTTGGTAGGGTCCAGGCACTCCCCCCAAGAGTCCAGGCTGAGAGAGCATCTCTCTTTGTGCTATAGGCACACGAAGACAGTTTGTACACCAGGGATAGACACTGATCCACAGCTCAGGGCCCCATAGGTTGCCCAGGCCTTCTCACTGACACTCACATTTGGGGGGTCCAGATCAGTCCCATGCTGGCCTACCCACTGTCGGTCTGGGGTCCAAGAGCTCTCCCCTGTTCAGTTCAGCTGTCTCTGCTGGTTTTGCCAGCCCATTCTTTGCCAATTTGCTCATCACTCCTCTCTCTCTGGCACTGGGTTCCTTGGGTTCAGTTCAGTGATTAATTGTGTGTTTGCCTCTGCTCCCATCAGTCACAGGATGAAGACTCCCGGATGGTTATAGACATCAAGTTCATTATCAGGAATGGGCATTCGAGGTGGTCCCTCCACTATTGCTTAGCTTGTCAATTGGTGTTATCCCTTTAGATCACTCGAGGTCACTTTGGTGCCTGATCTATCTTCTAACCTATGATTCCCTCTTCCCCCTATTCTACCCCCACCCCCTCAACTTCCTGTTCCCCCATGACCAACTCCCTTCCTCTTCACCCCCTCTCTTCTTCCCAGGACCCACACCCCCCACCCCTCGACGTGTACCCCATCCATTCAGAGGATCTTGTCTCCATCCTCTTCTCTTGGGTACTATGCATATATGCATATCTTTTAGGTTCTTTCCTGTTTCCCAGACTCTCTATCTGTGGAAGTGCAGACTGGCACTATCCTGATCCATGTCTAAAATCCATATATGAGTGAGTACATACCATGTTTGTCTTTTTGCGACTGGGTTACCTCACTCAGGATGGTTTCGTCCAGTGCTATCCATTTCCCTGCAAATTTCAAGATTCCATTGTTTTTTTTTCTGCTGAGTAATACTCCATTGTGTAAATGTACCACATTTTCTCTATCCACTCTTCAGTTGAGGGGCATCTAGGTTGCTTCCAGGTTCTGGCTATTACAAACAATGCTGCTATGAACATAGTGGAGCAGATGCCCTTGTTGTATGAACCTGCCTCATTTGGACAAATGCCTAAGAGTGGAATTGCTGGGTCTAGTGGTAGATTAATTCCCATTTTCCTGAGGAATCTCCATACTGATTTCCAAAGAGGCTGTATGAGTCGGCACTCCCACCAGCAGTGGAGGAGTGTTCCTCTCTCTCCACATCCTCTCCAGCATAAATTGTCTTTGGTGTTTTTGATTCTAGTCATTCTGACAGGAGTAAGATGGTATCTAAGAGTTGTTTTGATTTGCATTTCCCTGATGGCTAAGGATGTTGAGCACTTTCTTAAGTGTCTCTTGGCCATTTTAGCCTCCTCTACTGAGAATTCTCTATTTAGCTCTGTACCCACCTTTTAAGTGGATCCTTTGGTGTTTTGGAGACTTGTTTCTTGAGTTCTTTGTAAATTTTGGAGATTAGCCCTCTGTCAGATGTAGGGTTTGTGAATATCTTTTCCCATTCTGTGGCCTGCCTTTTTGTCTTTTTGACTGTGTCCTTTGCCTTACAGAAGCTTTTTAGTTTCAGAAGGTCCCATTTGTTAATTGTCGATCTCAGTGCCTGTGCCACTGGTGTTATGTTTAGGAATTGGTCTCCTGTACCAACTCGTTGAAGAGTATCTCCCACTTTCTCTTCTAAAAGTTTCAGTGTGGCTGGATTTATGTTGAGATCTTTGATCCATTTGGACTTAAGTTTTGTACAAGGCGATAAACCTGGATCTATCTGCAGTCTTCTGCATACCAGGACCCAGTTATGCCAGCACCATTTGTTGAAGATGCTTTCTTTTTTCCATTGTACAGTTTTAGCTTCTTTGTCAAAAATCAAGTGTTCATAGGTGTGTGAGTTAAAATTAGGGCTTTCAATTAGTCTACCTGCCTATTTTTGTGCCAATACCAAGCTGTTTTCAGGACTATAGCTCTATAATAGAGCTTGAAGTCAGGTATGGTGATGCCTCCTGAAGTTCCTTTATTGTATAGGGATGTTTTGGCTATCCTGGGCCTTTTGTTTTTCCATATAAAGTTGATTAATGTTCTTTCCAGGTCCTTGAAGAATTGTGATGGAATTTTGATAGGGATTGCATTGAATCTATAGACTGCTTTTGGCAAGATTGCCATTTTTATTATGTTGATCCTACCAATCCAAGAGCATGGGAGATCTTTCCATTTTCTGGTATCTTCTTTGATTTCTTTCTTTAAAGACACAAAGTTCTTGATATACAGGTCTTTCACTTCCTTGGTTAACATTATCCCCAGATATTTGATGCTGTTTTTGGCTATTGTAAAAGGTGATGTTTATCTGATTTCTTTCTCAGTCACTTCATCATCTGTATATAATAGGGCCACTGATTTTTTTGAGTTTACCTTGTATCCTGCCACATTGCTGAAGGTGTTTATCAGCTCTAGGAGTAACCTTGCGGAGTTTTTTGGGTCACTTATGTAAACTATCATATCATCTGCAAATAGTGAAAGTTTGACTTCTTCTTTTCCTATTTGTATCCCCTTTATCTCCTTTTGTTGTCTTATTGCTGTAGCTAGAACTTCAAGTACAATATTGAAGAAATATGGAGAGAGTGGACAGCCTTGTCTTGTTCCTGGTTTTAGAGGACTTGCTTTGAGTTTCTCTCCATTTAGTTTGATGTTAGCTGTTGGTTTACTGTATATTGCTTTTATTATATTCAGGTACGTTCCTGTTATCCCTGATCTCTCTAGGACCTTTATCATGAAGGGGTGCTGGATTTTTTCAAAGGCTTTTTCAGCATCTAGTGAGATGATCATGTGGTTTTTCTTTCGCAGATTGTTAATATGGTGGATTACATTGATAGATTTTCTAATGTTGAACCATCCCTGCATTCCTGGAATGAAGCCTACTTGATCATGGTGGATGATTTTTCTGATGTGTTCTTGAATCCGGTTTGCGAGTATTTTATTGAGTATTTTTGCATAAATCTTCATGAGTGAAATTGGTCTATAGTTCTCTTTCTTAGTTGTGTCTTTGTGTGGCTTGGGTATCAAGGTAATTGTGGCCTCGTAGAAAGAGTTTGGCAGTAAGCCTCCTGCTTCTATTGTGTGGAATACTTTGAGGAGTATTGGAATTAGCTCTTCTTTGAATTTCTGGTAGAATTCTGCACTGAAGCCATCTGGGCCTGGGCTTTTTTTGTTTGGGAGACTTTTGATGACTG